AGTGACCTTTGCTCTGACAGCCTGAAAGAAAGCAGTACAAAATTCTTTATTACATAGATTCAGATGAGGCTTAAAAAATTGCCTCAGCTATGAAATAAGATGGAAAATTCACTAGAACAGGTTCTTGTGCATCATCCAACATTGAATTTTTTTACACGAAATGCAGTTTATCTATTTTGAAGCAAGCAAGGAAAAACTGCTGAACATCACCAGTAAGCATTTTGTAACATTACATAAACGCATTTACAGATAGTCTAAAAATTCAATTGCAACACATTTTCTAGGATGCAGGACAGAAGCTCTAAAACATGTCCAGTGAACCAGGAATGCACAGTGGCTCTTATGAAAGTGAAAGCAATTAAAAAAAAGAAAAAAAGGATGCTGCTTCAAACAAACAGAACTTTGGGTGCTCCTTATTAACGCAGCTAATGGGCGTGGGGAGTCTGTTTCGGTACTTCTGAGGATAAAACGACTAAACCTTTGACAGCCATTTTAAAGCTACGTAATTCTGACAAAAGTGAGAAAGATTACAGATAAGTTTATCTGGCAATCATAAATCTTGCAAGACTTTTTCTCTGAAGACATGCAATTTCAAGTTGACTCTCAGTTGGAATATTTTACAATTGGGGACTTTCAGAAAAAAAGATAAATTTGAGGAATAACCAATTCCATGTGTGAGATAATACAGCCCTAATACTTGAGATTCCTGAATATTCTCCCTTTTATGTCCCTCTGAATACATACATCTCTTCCATCTACTCAAGCAGGTTTATGCTCTGTCATCCTGAAGTAGATCAGCAATACAATCATAGAATCATAGAATCCAATGAGTTGGAAAGGATCTCTGAGATCATCAAGTCCAACCTTGATCTGCTACCAGCACAGTTACTAGACCATGGCACTCAGTGCCACATCCAGTCTCTTCTTAAACACCTCCAGGGACGGAGAATCCACCACCTCCCTCGGCAGCCCATTCCAATGTCTGATTACCCTCTCTGTAAAGAATTTTTGAAATGTTTGAAAGAAGTAAAGCAGTACCTTACCCTCTACCTAAGGAAGAACCAAGTCAGCCACTCGTGGCAGAGAAAAAGGGTGCTCTACTTCCCAAAGGAGCAACTGATGCCTGGAAGTCATGTTGTGGTTGAGTAAAGCATGTGCTGTGGGTAACTGCAGCCTCCTCACAGCTCACAGGTATCTGAGTCAGCTCTAAACAAGTCCAGAAGAATAAATCAGTCTGAGGTGAGCTCTGTGCTACTACAGGTGGTTCCTGGAGCTCTGTTTCCTCAGGTATCTCTGTGGTGTTATCAATAACCAGAAAGCAGTGCAGGCACACTCTCACAGTGCAATTATCTCCTCTTTTCTGCCCAGGGGAGAAAACAGACACTGAAAGAGCAGTGATAGGAAAGTACAGGAGATACTACAGCAACAGTCACCACAGACTGATTCACCAATGAGGGGAGTTAAAGAACTCTTGATGGAAGATAAGCTGGGAGTAAAATGCAAAATCCCTGGTCATCTGATTTAAGAAAGAGACAAAAGTGTCAAGCTGCCAAATATAAAACAGGAAGTCCCCCTCCTGCCGCACTGTTTTCACAGAGAGAGATTTCTAAGAAAAGCAGAGCAAAATTGTGAAACTTTCTGGGATCCACTTGTTACACGGATTATTTCATGTGGTTTTAGTTACAGAAAACATTTCCTTTAGCAATAACCATTACAAACCAAGTCCATACTCAGAGAAGAAATTATGTAAACAAGTTAAAATTATCACCTTCAGCTATTCACATGACCACTTGGAAATTCTTTTGCATGATCACATATTCTTCCCACTTCCATTTCAGCAATTAACATTTAAATCCAGAAATGACTTAAAGCCACTGACTTGCTCCGAAGCAAGATCACCCACCTCCACCCCTCCCAATATAACAAAATACTGGATTAGAATAAATAGTTACATGAATAAATTTAAAACACTATATGGTCTTACAGAAGGGTATGAGAACTGCCTGGATAATCTATACTAATCAAGGTCAAAACAAAAAATGTGATGACCTAGCAACTTCTTGATACATGAATTAGAAATTTGCATTGAAAAAATGTTAGGGAAGAAGAGTGGAATTCCTATGAAAATAAAACATGTCCTCTCTGATATGCTATTTCAGCACTATAAATTTTTTTATATTTTAGAACATTTCTGCAGTATATCCCCATTTAGAGAAAGTGCAAATGAAATGAGGTTAATGGATGAAATAATTTGAAGGTGAGTTACTCTTTCAAGCATATTTACAGAACCTAATAGGCACCTCCATGTGCCATTTTGTGCTGGAGCTGAAGGAGATGTTTGCATCTTCCCCATGACCACACACAGTCCTCCAGAAGCCCTTTTCCCCCCTCTTTCTCTTTTCTCTACAAGGCCC